TAACCCCCCCCCCCCAGTAACAATAATTTGGCAGTTGTCCTCAGACAAAATTGCCTTTGTGGGAGCTTTGGGATTTTTGCAAACTATTTATCTGATAAGGATTGATATCAAAATATATAAGGAACTCATAAAACTCAATTGCAAAAATTAATAATAATCCATAAAAAATGGCCAAAGAATCTGAATAGACATTTCCCCAAAGAATACATGTAGAATACATACAGATGGCCAACAGACACATGAAAAGGTACTCAACATCAGTTTGTGAAAGTCGCTCAGTCATGTCCGACTCTTTGTGACTTGATCCCATGGTCTATACAGTCCATGGAATTCTCCAGGAAGAATACTGGAGTGGGTAGCAGTTCCCTTCTCCAGGGGGTCATCCTAACCCAGGTCTCCTGCATTGCAGGATTCTTTACCAGGTGAGCCACCAGGCAAGTCAAAGAATACTGGAGTGGGTGGCCTATCCCTTCACCAGGGTATCTTCCCAACCCAGGAATCGAACTGGGGTCTCCTGCATTGCAGCAGGCTCTTTACCAGCTGAGCTACCAGGGAAGCCTCATCAGGGAAATGCAAATCAAAATAAGATATCACCTCACACCTGTTAGGATGGCTGTTATCAAAAAGATGAGACAACAAGGGTTGTTGAAGGTGGGGAAAAAAGGGAACCATGGTACAGTGTTGGTAGGAAGGTAAATCGGTGCACCCATTATGGTAGGTTCCTCAAAAAAATTAAAAATATAATTATTTTTATATAGATAGATATTTATTTATATATTTATTTTTATATAAATAGAATTATAAAAATAGAATTATATGATCCAGGAATCTCACTTCTGGTTTATCTATCCAGTTCGGTTCAGCTCAGTTGCTTCTATCCAAAGGAAACAAAATCAGTATCCCAAAGAAATATCTGTACCTCCTTGTTCATTGCAGCATTATTCACAATAGCCAAGATGGAAACAACATAAGTGTCCATCAACAGATAAATGGATAAAGAAAATGTAGTGTACATATACAAGGGAATGCAATTATTCGACCATAAAAAAGAAAGGAAACATTACCATTTGTGACAACATGGATGAATCTAGAGGACATTATGCTAAGGGTGTAAGTCAGACAGAGAAAGACAAATCTGTATGATCTCATTTATAAGAAGAATCTGAAAATGTCAAACTCATAGAACCAGAGAGTAGGACAGTGGTTGTCAGGGGAGAGGGGGATGGGAGAGATGGGGAGATGTTGGTCAGAGGATACAAAATTCCATTTATAAGATGAATAAGTTCTGGGGATCTAATGTACAGTTTAGATCTGTACAGGGTGATTATGGTTCATAATACCATACTGTACATTTGAAGTTTGCTAAGAGAATAGATCTTCAGTGTTCGTACTTATGTTCTTATACACATAAAGAAAGGAGCTATGTGAAATGATAGATGTGTTAATAATCCATGGTAATCATTTCACAATGCATATGCAATTAAATCATCACATTGTAAACTGAAAAAAATCAAGTTGTACAATCTAAATACTTTTTAAATTTGTCAATCAGAATTCAATAAAGCAGATAATACAAATAAAAAAGTCCCTAGGAGCATTGGAAAACAAAAAGCAGTGGGACAGGTACTTTGAGGAATTTGAGGAGCTAAAAGCACCAGGGACTTAATGGAAGGAGGAAGCACAGTCCAAAACACACAGGGAAGAATGGGTTCAAGGTGGGCGCACTGTAGGAGCAGCAAACGTGGCTAATGGGAGAGGGGAGGGGCGCAGAGGTGACTGTCAGAGGACCACAGTAGAAGGAGCCAGACAGGTAGGACCAGGATTCCTAGCCTTGCTGGTGTCAAGAATCAGGCATTGGTGTCATACAGATGAAGTAAGTTAGAAAAACAAGTATGTATATTAACACATGTATGTGGGATCTAGAAAAATGGCATATAGATGATTTTATTTGCAAAGCAGAAGAAGAGACACAGACATGGAGAACAAATACACGGATACCCAGGGGGAAAGCGGAGGGGTGGGGGTGGGGTGGAATTGGGAGACTGGAATTGACACTTACTGTTGCTACTGTGTATAAAATAGATAAGTAATGAGAACATACTGTACAGCACGGGGAATTCTAATGCACTGTTGTGACCTGAACGGAAGGAAGTCCAGAAAGGAGGGGATGTAGGTATAAATATGGCTGATTCATCTTGCTGTTCAGTAGAACCTAACACAACATTGTAAAGCAATACTTCATTAAAAAATTAATTAAAAAAAAAAAAAGAATCAGGCATTGAACTCTTCTGTTTCATGGCGGGTGTGATCAGAATGGGTGCCTCAGAGGCTGATGACCTCCAGGAAAAACTGGGACTCTCTCAAGGTCAGACCACTGAATTCTTGAACATTCTTTATCCTCTACCTATTCCACCAACCCACCAAAAGGCAAAGCAGCCGGGAAACAGAAACAGCTAATGGAAAACCCCAAATGCCAAGAATTTCAAACTATTTAAGAAAAAAAGGCCAATACCCTGAAAGGCACTGACTCAACAGAGAATAAATCACGCTTCAAGAAAAAATAATGAATGAAGCAACTGGAGATGCTGCCTTATGGAGATGGTTGTCTCCAGTGTAATTAATGTCCTCAAGGAGACATAATTTTTCACACATAAGAAATACTATGAAATGAAAAAGTTAGATACCTTGGAAATGAAATATGACTGGGAAAAGAAAACAGCTCAACAGGTGAGCTGAAAATACAGAGCAGACAAATTAATGAATGAGCTGATGAATGAATAACGTGAGCCACGACCTCTCCAAGGATGCACTGCAAAGGGACACAGAGATGGAAAATGTGTGAGCAAAAGTGAGGTACCCAGAGGACAGACCAAGTTCCAACACACATCTATGAGGGGAGACCAGAGAGAGCACAGGAATGTGTAGACTTGAAGCGATAATAAAGACTACGTCCCAGAGCTAAAAAAAGACATGAATTCTTGTGTGTGTGTGAACAATTTTTTCATTTTTAAATATTTTTATTGAAGTACAGTTGATTTACAATGTTTTAGGGCACAGCAAAGGGATTCAGTGTTTTATATATATATATATATATACATATATATATATACACACATACATATATATTCTTTTTCAGATTCTTTTCCATTATAGATCATTACAAGATACTGAATATAGTTCCCTGTGCTATATAGTAGGTTTTTACTGTTTACTTCATTTATGTATAGTAGTGTGTATCTATCTGTTAATTCCAGATTCCTAATTTATCCCCCTCCTATCTTTCCGCTTTGGTAATCACAAGTTTGTTTTCTATGTCTGTGAGTCTATTACTGTTTTGTTAAGAAGTTCATTCGTATAATGCTCTTAGATTCTACATATGAGTGATATCCTACGATATTTGTAAGACATAAGTTCTTAATTCGAAAGGGCCCACTGAGTGCTAAGCAAGATGAACAAAGAAATGAATGAAAGTGAATCAACAAAATCAAACACAGGCTTTTAAAAAACCAAATAGACAAAATTTGGATAATTATTGTTGAGAAACAAACAAAATACATAAGTAGACACTGAGGACAAGAAAAAAATTTCATACAGAGATTAGACATTGTAAATAAATATTGTGTCTGATCGTAACATCAAAATTTTTCAAAATCTCGACAACTGGACAATTTTCAAGAAAAATATATTGGCACTGTCAAAAATACCATAAAGAACATAAAAAAGTAGTCAAAAGTCGACCCCTTTCCCCAAAGGCACCAATTAACCTGGTTCTGCCACCAGTCTGCTGCGTAACTTGAACCAAGCCTCAGTGAAATAAAAAAGTCTACCTCTCAAGGTTATTGTGAGGATTAAATGAGCAGGTCCAGGCTACTGGTGTGTGAACGACATGACACTACCTACCCCAAGGTGTCACGACTGATTAGCTGGCCACTTGCACCCCACAATGTTCATAAAAGTGTAAGAATTGTCCTTCCTACTTTTACAGATGGGAAAATAAGTAGTGGGAGGTGAATTTCCACTGCCCATGACTCAAATCAGAAGCCAAGTTGGGAAGGGAATCCAGCTCTCCTGCCCAGGGTTGTACCTACACAGTACAAACCACTGTCTCTGCCAGTTACGCAGGGAAGCCGGGCCTGGACCCTTCCTCCATCTCTACCAGGGAGCATCGGCAAGAATCTCGAGGCATGAACTGCTGCCCATTCCAAGGACCATGCTCCACCCAGAGTTGCCCCTGGCAATCTGGAACAAAGTCCAGCCACTTCTGGGTCAGCGCTTTCTATAGGGAAATGAGCTATGAATTGGAAAACATTTTCACATGCCTCGATTCATCATCTCCAGACACTTGATCTTTTAATGGGCTGTAAATGGCTTCCCAAAATCAAAACCTGGCCAAAAACAACCAAGAAGGCAGGCAGAGACAAGGAAGGAGGGCTCCAGGTCTTTTCAGATGGAATTCTAAACCCTGTTCATCCCCAGGCTTCCGAGGATCCGGGGAATTTTGGGAGAAGACACTCTGCCCTCACATGGGGTCCCCCTTAGGATCCCCTTAGGTCTTCTACTTGGTGGGTGGCATCGAACCACCGCCCACCCTCACCCCCACCTCTGACCATGATGAGTGCATGATGGTGGGTG